CTTTCCAAAGCGCGTGCCGATCGGACGTCTATATCATATAGCTCCCATAGGAACAATAGGGTGAAAAATTTTTAATTTTTATTTTTTTCAATTATAGAATATTTTGTTGTTTATTAATTCATGTTGCTATTTTAGTCAAGTTTTCATTCGTGAAATCTGCAAGGGTATTAAAACTTCGGCTTGCCGAAGTTAGCTTCCGTCCTCGTTTTTGTTGTGATTAAACTTCTTCTCAATTGGCTGCATTACAGTATTGCTCCTTGCACTTTTTGCACCTGTTAATTATAATCTCTTTGAGCGTGCCAATGCAATGCGATGAATAAGGTAGGTAGAGTAAAGTGGGGTAAACTGGGTAAACCGACAGCCGGCCAATTCGCATGTTATTCGATGGCACTTACAAATGCGAGTGAAATTCATTGGGCCCCCTGCAATGCAAACCAGGCATTCGCACCTAGCAGTCGCACCTGCAGAATGTCGGGATTCTATATATAAATGGCGGAATGCCGCACTCCACCTGCCACGCGCATTATTGCAAACAATTTGCCCTGTTTGTGCCACCGGACAAATGACAAAAAGGACAAATGGCACAAAATATTTTGCCAAGCGCTCGCTCTCGCTGTTGCAGGCAATCGGAAATGTTGCCAAAGTTCTGCTACCAACACACACAGATACTCATATGCCCTGCAGGCTGGCAGTCACACACACAGACACAGAGAGTCAAAAAAGGGCGCAGGATATGCACAATGTATGCACTGAGGCGAAGCTTTGGCGGCTTAGCCCCTAAATCCTACCCTTACTCTGCCATCCTCTTGAGTGTCCTGCGCTGCCTTTTGCGCCTGCAGTGTTTGTTTTAATTTAAATAAATGAGCTTAAGCGCACTCACAGCTCGTGATCCTTTAAGGCTCTACGCCCGCTCCTTATTTTATTTGTCCTCGTCGGAAGAATCGCAGTAGCATTGCCAGTCGCTGTCTCCTTTTGTCGTCCTTATTTAGCTGACGACGGGCTATTGCCAGGATATGCAAGTGCTAAGCATTTTTAAGTCAAATTGCTTTGCCGAACATTCTGCTGCTGCCATTTGCCTGCACGACTGACCCCGGGAAGTAGTGGAAGTTGAGCCCCCTCACTCCTTCAGTGTCCTTCCCGGCATTTTCCCCCGGCTTTTCCGCTTTCGCGACGCGTTGCTGACGTCGTCATCGCTCTCCAGTTCAAGTGTTTGCTGTTGTTGTTCTTGTTGCACTGGCTTCTGTTTGGCAGAGGGTCCTCTTAATTTTCCCAGCAGTTTGGCATCATTACCAAGGGCTAAAAGCCTGGCCATAAATTAATTTATTTTATTTTTGTTTAATTTTTTATTGTATTTAACGAAACAGTAGGAAACGCAATAAAAACTCTTTGTGTTTAGCTTGTGGCAACCTAATTTAACTTTATTTTCATATTTTTATAGGCAAATAATAGTTATTGGCAGCGGCAAGCTTAACAACAAACCCATGGTCATGACACCTTAATTTAAACGCAATTATTGGGTTTTGTCGGTATTTTTTTGAGTATTATATTATATTATTTTGAGTATTATAGAGCCAATTATAAATATTTATTTGTTCGAAGCTTGTGACTTGCAATGGTTTATTATGAAATATATATGGTGAATAAACCACTAAGCTTGATAAACTTAAAAAAAAATGTTGAGAAATTTATAAAATAAATTTTAAAATTAAATAAGTAAATGAGTTAAATAAGGAATACCTTTTGAGTCCTTGAGAATCCTAAAATAACTACGTTACGCCTTAAAAAGTAAGCCACTAAGCTTGGTAAACTTAAAAAAAAGGTGAGAAATTTCTAAAATTTAATGTTTAACAAAATTCTTTAGAAATCTTAACCATTTTTGATGAAGGGTATTAAGTACTTCGAATTCCCCTCAACTAAACGCACCCTTTGGCGTAGCTGCTGTTGTTGTTGTAATGCCTCTTGTTTTTGTTATTCACGCTGCTGCTGTTTTAGTTGTTGTTCTTGTTGTTGTTAGTAGAGGAACTTCAAAAGGCTTTTCCGCTGTGTTAGTTCGCTTTGCTGTCGCCTTTTGCTCCTTTCACTTGCTCCGCCGACCTCGCGCTGCCACTTGTCGAGTTTCTCTTTCTTCCCCCGCCCACTTACACTTACACACTTTTCCACCCCTCTCCTGGAACCACCCTCACTCTACTCCCCTGAAGTTTACCTTTGCCTGCAACAGCGCTGATTTGCAGTTTCTTCTTTTCATTTGATGGGCGCAGCTTTTTGTCATGTTTTTTCTAGCCCATTCATTCTTCTTTGCCTTTGCTCAGTTTTTCCCGTTTTTCCAACTTTTGCTCTCTTTGCGCCCGCTTCCACTGTTTACACAGCAAATTTATTTATTTTCGCACTGTGGGACGCTCTTAAATATTCCGTCTTTTGAGTGCTAATGCAAATGTTGTCTGCAGGGCGGGCAATCAGCGGAATGGGTGAGCGAAAAGAAAAAGGAGTGAGTTCTATTTGGCTGAGAGCAGCAAAAATCACTTGAAATAACGCCCGAAGATTAACTGGGAATTTCCTTAGGAATCAAGGTAAATACGTAGATTGGGATGAGGCAGCCGTAAAAGAAGCCATTCAATCGGAAGAGGTTTCTTTGAACACCTCCAATTAACTGTGAAGTAAACGCAGCAGATTCCTAAGTATGAATATCAAAGAAAATAAGCTTCATAAAATAAATAATTAATATATATAGGTAGAAGATAATGGTATAATTTCTTATACGAGTGAGTAACTACAGGTGTATGAATGCAAACACATTTGTTTTTATCATTTTGCATTTCAGTTTGATTTAAAATAACTTGTTTTTAGATTTTGTATAATTATTTTACTTTTTTAGAAAAGAATAAAAAAGAAAAGAATAATTTTTAATAATTTATACAGTTTTGTTTAAATTAAAAAAATAAAAAACTTATTCAAATGATTGAATGATTTTATTTTTGAATGCAAATGAATTAATTTCTTTATAATCCTTTAACAAATGCCAATGGATATACCGCAATGTGCACTTGTTCAGTTGAAATTAAATTAAGTAGAAACGGAAGTAAATAAAACAAGATTTGCGACCTGCTATGAATTTGCATTTAGAAAATCAATTTAGATTAAAAATGTGGATAAGCTAAACAAAAAATCTAATTGAATACACATTTATCCAACTAAAATAAAAAACTAACACAATGCCATTACTACAAACAATGGGCTGGGAAAACAATTAAATTTAATAACCGTAAGTTAATCCACTTAGCAGGAAAGCAGATTGATTCCCCACACCCCGCATCCCTTAACGACCGTCAAACCCTAACCCCTGGCAAGTTTTGAATCCCTGCTCCTGCTGCAAGCTCGAGTGCATCGCATCCCACGCCAAGTAAACTTCCCTCCCAGCAGCATTCTGAAACTCTAATTTAATAAGTAAATCACATTTCCGCCTTTTGAATGTCACCATCCCACCAGAACTCCGACGGAGTTGGCAGGCGGAACCCATCTCTGGCTTTTCCCGGTTCTGAGTTCCCAGTTTTCCCGGGGCATCGCATTGACACCTCGTCAGAAGTTCGCAAGACATCGCCCCGGCGACTTGCTAACTGGTTTAGTGCAAATTCACTATTAGGAGAGCGCTCAATTTCACACTGGAATTAAATTACAGCGCATGCCGATGCGGCAGGTGGGCGGTGGGTGGATTTGGGTGGGTGGTGTTTGGTGGACTAACTTAAAGGGGGCGGAGTGGGATAGTGGGAGATCAGAGTTTGTGGCGCGGTCCCAACGCCACGGCAAATGAGCGAACACCTCGTTAGTTTGTGCGCCTCGAAACTTTTTTAATATTTACATTCATATTTTGCACCTTTCGCCCTTTTAACCGCTTTTTCACGCCCTCCCAAAATCGCGGGGCCTTCTTTTATTGCAACTTGTGCATCCTGCAGCATCCTGACTCCTGACTGCTTGCTGACTGCAGGACGGACCAAGGATGCTGCCGAGCCATAAATTTTTGTTTGTGTTGAAAATTGCATTTGCCTTTTACTTTGTGTCGAGGCTGAGCCAGGGATCCCGAATCGGTGGCCCAAAAGGGGGTGGTGCACAGAAAAAAATATAAATCCATATATATATTTACACACAAAAAAACACGCCGGGATCAAATCAATATGCGCATGGTACATTTCAGGTATTTATACGAATATCGTTTTTACCATGCAATCCAGATTTCTCTCTCTCGGATATTCTCTGACTTCGAAAAAGAGAGCAATTAGCAATATGGCGACTTAAATTACGCTCGTAGGAACGAGCGGGATAGCGCCTATCGCCTATAGTTACTTGAGTGGGAGGGAGAAACACGCTTTCGAAATTCGAACTGGCCATTTTAGACAAAATTGATATCACATAAGATCAAATCGATCATCGTTTCATATCAAATTGAAGTTGGGTAGCGTTTAGTTTGGTAATTACTGGAAATCATATGTCATTTCTGATTCAAAACTAAATATCGTTAATAATAAAGTAATACAAAATTTAAATTTTAGTAATATTTTAATTAAGCTAAATTCATTCAAAGGCTTTACATTATTTTTCTATATTAAATCCCATTTTTCTCAGTGTTTTACAAAGCTGTGTTGGTGAGATTGAGCTTGCCCGGCAGCCATATTGGATGCCCCTAAAAGCAGGCAACGTCAAATTTGTTGCAACGCTTGATAATCAAGTTAGCGATGCGCCCATCATGGCATCAAACCAACCCAGCTCCCCGCCCCTTTTAGCCACCCCCCTGCCCCCTCGCTGCAGACCAACCCCCCTTTTAGTGCACTCAAATTGAACAGCCTTTTGTGCTCGATTCTTCGCAATCTTTTTTTTTGTCCGCTTTATCGCGATATAAATTTAAACCGATGATTCCGCTTCGGACCGGGATTGTGATTCTGATTCCGATTCAGATTCCGATTCAGGATACAGATGCTGATGTTTTGCTCGCATTTCTTGTTTACTTGCAGATGTCAATGGGCGTGGCCGTGGGACGCGAAGCGAGCCAGCTGAAAATCAAAGCCCAATTGGCACAAACACGCGGTAAATAGAATTCGCAATCGGAATCGGAATTGAAATAGGAATTCGCATTCAAATTCAAATGCAAATAGAAATAGAAATTGCCACGAGACCCCCACAGAAAAAAAACAACAAAAAATAGCAACTAAAATACCCATAAAATAATAGGAAAACAAAGAGTGCCAGTGGAGGAACAGCTGCTGCAGCAAATAAAAGAACCGCAACAGCAGCAGCAACAACAGGCAATAACAACTCCACCAGCAACAGCGACAACAACAATATGGAGAAGCTGCTGCAATCGACGCTGTTTGTCATCCTGATAATGGCCACAAAATGCGGCAGTGGCTCGACCCAGAACCAGCATCACGGTAAGAGGGGTTCCTTAATTGCGAGCGGGGGCTACGTACATTTACTACAACCGATGGCATTTCCTTTTCCCAGAGAGCAACTCCCAACTGGATCCCGATCCGGAGTTCATTGGGTTCATCAACAATGTCACATATCCGGCAGGACGCGAGGCCATCTTGGCCTGCTCGGTGCGCAATCTGGGCAAGAATAAGGTGAGTCTGGGGAATAAAAATTTAAATAATCTTGAATATTTTTTAAAATTTAAAAACTAAACTATTTATTAAACCCCTCTTTAAAGGTGGGCTGGCTGAGAGCTTCCGATCAAACGGTATTGGCTCTACAAGGTCGTGTGGTCACCCACAATGCGAGAATCAGCGTCATGCACCAAGACATGCACACGTAAGTTTTAATATCTTACCTTACACAATTTTTCATTACTCAAAACCCCTTATAGCTGGAAACTCAAGATCAGCAAACTGCGCGAAAGTGATCGAGGCTGCTATATGTGCCAAATAAATACGAGTCCCATGAAGAAACAAGTGGGCTGCATCGATGTGCAGGGTATGCATTTTTAAAATTATTACTAGTATTATCATTATAATTAACCATTCTCCTTAACAGTCCCACCTGATATCATAAACGAAGAGTCCTCCGCTGATCTTGCCGTTCAGGAAGGCGAGGATGCCACCTTAACCTGCAAAGCCACGGGAAATCCCCAACCGAGAGTCATTTGGCGCCGGGAAGATGGCGAAATGATTCTCATTCGCAAGGCAAGCAGTCGAGAGCTCATGAAAGGTGACTATCGCTAAATACACATATTAATGATAATAATAATAAAATATTTGTATAGTGGAATCCTACAATGGATCCTCGCTCAGGCTGCTTCGCCTGGAAAGGCGTCAGATGGGCGCCTACCTATGTATAGCCTCCAACGATGTTCCACCTGCTGTCAGCAAGCGCGTTTCGCTAAGTGTACAATGTGAGTTGTCAAATATAAACTTGATAAAAATAATATTTACTTCATGAATAGATAATTTACTTGTTAGATAGAATACTACTTGATAAATAAAATATTTACTTGATAAATATATTATTTATTTGATATTTCAGAATATTTATTCCATAAATATAATATATTTGAAAAATGCAATATTTACTTGATGAATAGAATACTTACTTGATAAATATTAACGTAAAAAATACAATATTTACTTGACAAATCAAATATTAACTTGATAAATAGAATATTTACTTTTAGGAAGCGGGTTTTATAACTTTTCATTATACTAAGCTTTTCCAAGCATTTTTGTACAATATAATGTTTAAGTTCTTCTTCATAATAATTAAACATTTTTATGAGAAACTCTAAGGGTAAATCTTAAATTTCCCCCTTTAAAAATTCACCAATAAAAGTAATCAATTTAAAAGCCAGCGGGGCAGAACAATTGCACAATTTCATGAAAATAAGAATAATAAATGTATTTATTTGTGCCTTTTCGCCGAAATCAATGAAATCTGACCACTCACCCACTCATGACTCCACTCCGCAGTTGCTCCCATGGTGAGGGCCCCCAGCCAACTGCTCGGCACGCCCCTGGGATCCGATGTGCAGCTGGAATGCCAGGTGGAGGCCTCGCCGTCGCCCGTCTCCTACTGGCTGAAGGGGGCGCGGACGTCCAACGGATTCGCCAGCGTCTCAACGGCCAGCCTGGAGTCCGGCTCGCCGGGTCCCGAAATGCTGCTCGACGGGTAAGTTCGGGGAATTCCTGGCTGGCAGACATCAGTGATACATATCCATCTCGAAACCATTCCACTCTCTGTGTCTTTCTGGACCCATTCCGTAACCTGGACCCATATCCAATGCAGGCCCAAGTACGGGATAACGGAGCGGCGCGATGGCTATCGGGGCGTCATGCTGCTGGTGGTGCGTTCCTTCTCGCCCTCCGATGTGGGCACCTATCACTGCGTCAGCACAAACTCGCTGGGCCGTGCCGAGGGCACATTGCGGTTATACGGTGCGTATACGCAATCTCCGTTCCGCCATCTCTCGTTCTCACTGGCTTTAATTTGTTTTGTTTGTTCATGTTTTTTTCTGTGGTTTTGTGTTGCAGAAATCAAGCTTCATCCGGGCGCCTCCGCCAGCAACGATGATCATCTGAACTACATCGGAGGTGAGTTTAACCCTCTTCTATAAAGAAATATTATATTAAAATATTTAAAAAAAATTTAAATCAAGTGCAATACTAAAGTATATTTTATTTTTCTTTACAACAGGTCTCGAGGAGGCGGCTCGGAATGCGGCCAGTAGCAACCAGACGACGTGGCAGCAGCCCCTGCTCGCCATGCTGATGCTTCTGTGGATGCGGCTGAAACTGAGTGCCGGGGGAGCGTGATATCAAAACTGAGAGAAGAAGAGCCGGCAATCAAGTATTCCTACAGATTCCCTCGGACACCGACATCGACATCTCTCTCTCTCGCCGCCGCCTGCGTTCTTGTTGTTCGTTTCCGTTTCCGGTTCCGTAACCCCGGCCCACGCACACACACACATACATATTGCCGAAGGCGCCTCCCGCTGCCTCAGATATCATTTGCATACGTATCAGGAAACGCGTTGTTCCCACCCGCTGAACCCCCGAACCCAAAAACCCCCTGTGCCAAATCCCCAACCCCGCTCCCTAATGAAAACTAAAGAGGATATCAAAAGTGGACAATTGGATGCCAAAACCCTTCCATTATCCCCCCAGCCCCCAAATAATGTTACATTGCATATAAATTAAATATGAATACTATAAAATAGTGCATAAAATTTATTATCATAATATAAATAACGACAAAATTATTGAATAAATTATCGCAAAAGTGGAAAAAAAAAGAAACCGAATGGAAATCCGATTTTCCTTCACTTCCGACAGGGTTTCCTGCGCCACTGGCCTGACCCACTGATCCATTTTCTGGCCACTGTATTCCGGATGGTAGGTAGGTGGTAAGTAGAGAAGAGGAGTAAGGAATCGATGAGTGGGACCTTAATGACTTACCCCACTGAGTTCCGAGGAGCACGGGGCAGGTGGCCTGCAAACTTCGAATGTCACAATTCCCGGAGTTGTCAATGTTGTGCCAAACCAAAGCCGATCCACGATTGGTCCTTAAACCAAAACCCAGGTCAGGAAAAGAGGCATAGCCACCCATCTGGACATCACTAAGCTGGAATAGGGGAAAATATACGCTTTAATTCTAAATTTAAGCCAATAACCTACGGGGTAACTAACATTGGCTTTTGCTCAACGTTTATTATTTTTGGAAGAAGTCAAATATGGCCATTTCTAGACTTTAATGTCATTGGATTAATATTTTCTTTTTTATAACTTTTATTTTGAATGTTTTTTCATTGTTTATAGGTGAGCTTTATTTATAAAACTGAGTTTTATTGCATAAAACGAAAATAAAACTTGAATTTAAATATGATTTTTTAGCCAGAAAAATCTGAAATTATTATTATTTTCGGTGCCTGCTTTAACAATCTAATATTTTAAAACTTCTCTATAGAGTATAGAGAAAGAAACTTACAAAAAGCATTACAGTGGCCGTGTGATATTCTGGGATAAATGGTTCAACGAATTCCTGGAAAAGAAAACTCTCTCATTAACTCAGCTAGATTATAAGTTATACCCACCACCGGCTGCTTGCAGTCCAAGTGTATGAAATCCTGACCTCCAATGCCAGAATTGGAGACGGTTAGTGGTTCGCTCGCTGCCAAATTCAGACCTGTCATATCCTCAATCCTTTGGTGGATTCGCACAACATGATCAGAGGCATTCACAGCGACTTCAGCCTCTACGCTAGAGAGATCTACTTGCTTATGTTCTAATCTTGATTTTGTAAGGTTTATTAAATCTTCCTGCTCCGCTGTCGATATAACATCATGAAAGAGGCCAATGAAAGGTTCAACGTTGAGCTGTTCAAGCTTTAAAGGAGCCAGGCGGAGAAATAGTGAACCTTCTGTAAAATAACGACAACGTAGGGCAGAATTCTTTGGAGTAGGATTTTTCCCTCGACAGTTGTCCAAATGCACCAACATGTGAGCCAAGTTATCTTTCAAATGACTCGCAAGATCGGAATTATCATCCTTGGAGGCCCACTCTATTGACTTTTTAAAGGCTGCTTGACTGGCCGGCAAGTCATCTGTACAAAATTTCATGTAAACTAGTTTAGATTTCTTTTGTTTTTAAGTGAACTTACGCATAGAAAGCAAAGTTAGACCTAGTTTTTCATAGATTTGAGAGCGTCCCGTTTTGAGTAACCTATTTACAGGATCTAATGACTTTTCATACTGATCTATGGAAATTCTTAACCACTTGCAGGCCAATTTGCCTTTTTGCTGATCCTCAAGATGAGTGCCCAAGGCTAGGCAATCGGCGGCACTTAGCCTAGAGCTTTTTATAGATAGAAATTAGTTAACATCCGGGCTTGAGATCTTATAAAGCTCACTTGTACTGTTTGTCATATAGTTTTCCATTGGCCATTTCGCTTTCGTTCAAGCCGTAAACTCCCTGAAATCGTATCAATCCGTTGGCAGCCATCTTAAGATCCTGTGCTGAAATACCTGTAAGATCTCGGGATAACAATTTTTGAAGAGCTCCTGTTCGGAAAACATTAAAATTCTATATATTATTAAATCCTTCTTATAAAGGAGTTACCCCCTTTCATCTCCCGTCGAGCGAGGTTCAGCAACTTTGGAGCATCGGCGTACATTCGTCGCATAAGTGGAAAACTAACCAGGGGATTGGCTACGTAAGTCGTGGGATCGGGATGGCCTAGCGCTCTCCTGGTAATCCATTCTTTCTGAAAACTTTTATAACGTTTCTATGATTAACAAAACGTTTTTAATAGTAATCAAATCACCCACATCCTCATTTTGTCTACTTTAAGCTGCAATTCCTTCGCATAATCTCGCATATTTTCTATTAGTTCGTCTTCTATTTGTAGCAGGGAAGCCATTTCGCGTGTCGATGTGGCGTAGTACTTGGAGTCCATAGCATTTGTCATTCCGAGTAGGAAAATCGAACACCAAAGGTTCATCATGATAACTGAATGTAAACAGATCGTAAAACTCTCTATTTTACAGACTATGAAATTCAATTTGTTCTGGTGCTACGTTAGCGATGGGTAGGAGTAAGTCTGATATGTAAGCAAAAAATATATGCGTGCCTATAACATTCCATTTTTAATATAGTTACCTACCATTAAAACGTTATTTAATTAGCTATTTTCCATTTCCCATAACTTTTTTGAAATACCTCCTTTTCAAGTATTAATAAACCATATGAATTCTTTTTTATTTAAGATTTATTTCAATTTTTAATAACTTGACAATATTGTTTTTTTTTTATCTTATATGCTGGTTGATCGGGTTAAATTGCAAATAATGTAATTTATAATTAATATTTATGTAATATTAAACTAACTCACAATCATTTGAATTAAGTATGTATGGTATATTCAGATATACTCTAGGGATCATACGATGTGTGTATGTGGTGTGTTGTGTAGCAATGTGTGAATGGGTTGATCTTTCGATATTCGATAGTGAAACGAAAACGAACAAAACAGGCCGGCGGCGATAGTTCTACACATTTTTAAAACGTATGCTAAGAGAGAGATGACTCTGGGCTGCTACTGAATTTACACAAAATGCGCTGCGATCGCTGCTGTTGTGTGTACACAACACAGGGCGGCATAACAATTGCTCTTTACATTTACAACCATCCGTACATAATGGCTGGCATTAGCTTACAGTTCACGCTCTCGAAATGGTGTATTAATTACAAATTAGTCGGCTCCCATTGCAGTGACAGGTGTACATATGGGGATGCATTTCAACTAGCGTGTAAGCGACTTTCTTTCTTATTTTACAACTACATTTGTATACTCCAATAGTCGGTTTTGCAGTCGGTTCAATTTGTCTCCTCTACCTCGGGGGGTATCGTGGGTTGTGGGTGCACACACTTCAAGACATTTACAATTAGGTTCCAGTGTTCCAGGAGGACGCACCGCACTATCAATATTATACACGATTTGGTTATCATTACAGAACAAAACACTGTTGGCGGGTATGGTACAATGCACAAGCGCAGGCGTGGCGCTACACAGCTCAAAATGATGATGATGCACAGCAACAGGTGCACAAAATATCAGGAAACAAGGGATCAATGTTTAGGGATTTTTGTATAATAAACATCTATACAAGTCAAGTTCGAAAAAATTTAGAATAAAAGACTTTAGCACTTAAAGTAGGGGTTGTAAAGTTGGTTTGCCGTAAAGTTGCTGGTGTCTACTCTACGAGGCGGCTGGTGTGCAAGACGTTGCTGGACGACTGCTCTGAGTGTATGTCTGCATGAGTGAGTGCTTGATTAGCGCTGTCTGCTGTCAACAATAACCAAATCGTTGTAATTCTCATCTGGAGAGACTGTGCGACCGTTCGCGGCTGCTGCTGCCCGACGACAATGGCTGCTTGTTGCTCACTTCACCCACGCGATGGTGCGGTGGCAGCCGGTCGAAGAAAGGATGACGCAGGGCTTCACCTGGAAAAAATTAACGAAGAGTAATTAGCATTGGAATCAGTCAATAGATCGGTATAACCTTACCTAACGTAATCCGGGACGAGGGCTCGTACTCCAGCATCTTCTTGATCAGACTGAAGAGCTCACAGTGGTCCTCGCTGTCGCTCAGCTGGCACAGGAACAACGGCTTGCAGTGATCGCGGACATAGCGACCCGCACTGGACTTCTCATCCCAATCCAACTTACCATGATAGAAGTACTTTGTTTTGGTTTTGCTATAAAGAGTATGATTGCTAAACGTTAAACGATTTCGGTGAAGGGAACTGCGCCTTGGGAAATAAAAGCATGAGCTGCATTGTATTACCGTGCCATGCGATATGGTATTTGTCCCAAGATTCGCTCCATCATGGCCAGATGCTCGCGATTGTCGTGCGTTTGGAAGAGCGTGATACCCAGATACAGTTCGAACAAGATGCACCTGTTGGCGAAATTTATTAATATGCGCATAGATAAAATATTTGTAATCCGATTCTTACCCAATGGACCAAACATCGCAAGGCTGTGACCACCCCAGCTCCAGTATGACCTCGGGCGCGCGGTAATGTCGCGTCGAGACAATTGTGCTGTGGTGCTCGTGGTCGAAGGTGGCCGACCCAAAGTCGATCAGACGGACGTCTGTGTTCTTGACGCGGCGCACCTCGCGGTTCTATAGGTTAGGGAAATAATATAAGTATAGAATTTGCATAATTTCGCAATCAATACTTACAATCTTATGATTATAGTGAGCAGTATAATCCGAATCGACGAAGAGTATGTTCTCCGGCTTGAGATCTGTGTGCGTTAAACGATTGTCATGAAGAAATTTCACAGAGTAGCATAATTGATAGGCCATGTGGCGCACTTGGTCCAGCGAGTATGGCTCATAGTTGTTCTCACGCTGTAAATTAAATATACAAATTATTATTCAGAACTATACATTAAGGCAACTCAACTCTAACTTACCAAAAAATCGAAAACACTTAGCCCCAACATTTCAAAAACTATACACATGTGTCCATGATAATCAAACCAGTCTATCATTTTCACGCACAAACTAAAAAAGTAAGGGAAATATTTTATTAGATAAACTATAAGAAGTTAAGAGTTTATATGAAAACTTACTGATCGCAATGCGGATCCTTCTGGGCAATCTTTTCCAAGGCATTAATCTCCAGCTTGGCAGCTTCGCGGTACTTCTCCACGTTCTTAATAATCTTCAAGGCCATGCAATAATCACTGAAACATTTCAAAAGGGGTTTGTATTATTTTAAATAATTTACAAAACAATTTAAAAAACTTACCGCTCCATGTCTTTGACCTTGACCACACGTCCGAAAGTTCCCTCGCCCAGTGTGGCCATGATCTTATCTGAAATTCGGGAAAAGGATAGCCAGTTGTAGTAGGGTTTCGCACAAGACCATTAAAGAGTGTTAAACGTTAGCTGTCTGGTTTATTTTTCTTGGTTCTAAAGCTAAACCTGTAGCTGTAACTAAATACTCGATGAGGGCTAAATTTGGACTCTAAGCTGAGTGTTTGTGTGTACGGAAAGAGTTTGTATTTTCAATATTATTTCGTTAATTATGCGACAAAGTTCGTGTGTTCGTTTTTAGGCGTGTGTGTGAAAACTTCCCAGTTGAATTTCGTGGTTAAGGGAAATTTTGTTTGCCGGTAAAAGTTAAACTTAGAGCCATCAAAGACAAATTTCGGAAGTTGAAAAGATTTTCGCGAAACTGACGAAAATTGTGTGAATTTCTTTCAATTGTTGCTTTGTCCTTCTCTTTTTTCGTTCAAAATTGTCTTAATTTCCCGATTGCACGCGACGCGATTTTTTTTGGTCTTGCTGTGAGATAATTAAGAAATAATAAAGAAAACTTGGAAATATTTTAAACTAAAAGAGAGTTATAAGAAGAGGAGAGAAAAGTAAGTGTGACTGACTCATTATTTTTTCGTGTTCATCTTGCTTTTCTTTCATTTTTTTATAAGTTTTCTGATTGTTGTCTAAACATAAGTATGGAAAAATTAAAAACCAAAAATTGTCACGAACATCTGTGATGGAGAATGTCTCCGGTGTGGTAAATTAAGTGACCATCAGCATCATCTTGAATGACGGGCTTTGCTGTCTGTTCGAGCAATCGTTCGGATCGGATTGTAGATCGTATTGGAGATCGGATTGGAGATCGGTTTGGAGCGGAGCGATCGACGACGTAGGGTGGTAGTTGCAGCAGTTGGCGTTGCAGGAGAGGTTGGGGTGGTGGTGTGGCGACGATTGCGATTGCATTCGATGGTGGTGCATTCGATCCGTTGAGAGAAGGGTGGGTGGGTTGCGAGCGAAACGGCGAGCGGAGCAGTTTACAGACGTACACATAAGGTGCGTGTGTGCGTGTGTGGTAAAGTATGTAATTTGAAAGAGAGAAAAAGAAACAAAAAAGAAAGAGAAAAAAGAAACAAAAATATATATATATTTCCACGGGTTCGATCGGTTGTTGGATCCCAGGATTCGGTCATCAGGTGGTAAAGCCAATCAATAGAGCATCATCAGGAGGAGGAGGACGATCCCACGTTGGCACCAAAAGCAATCGCATTCCGTTTATAAGTCAGCCGCAGACATCCCGTTAACCAACCAACATCATCATCATTTCATCATCCCCATCAAGAAGTTGTGTGTATGTACATCATCATCATCATCAACCCATCATCATCATCATCATTGTGATTTTCATCATCATATTCAGAAAAAACACGAGAAAAATACGTTTCGTTTGTTCGATAAGAAAATTAGTTCGGACAAATTTTTGAGATTTGTGTTTACAAAAATGGTTAATATCAAAACATGTACAAACAATATCATATATAAATGGCAAAAAGGTATATATATTCGAAAATGGTATATATAACGTATTATTATATATATATAAATATATAGGTAGATGGGAAATGCACCAATAGCTGTGCTCTCTTGTTTCTTGGGCAATAAAAAAAAAACATCAAACCATTAAATGCTTTTTGCTTAGTAATAACAATAATATTATAGCTTTTTTTCGGTTATAAAATGGTAAAAGAACAAATAAAGTTGTTTGTTTTTCGTTTGTATAGGTCAATGTCGTAGGATTTCTTACATTTTGTTCCTAGTTTTAGTTGGAAAATCGCATGCAAAAAGCGCGTATCAGTTAGTCGAAGAACATGGAATACAATCCGCAGTGCTGTTAGCTTTTTCTGTGGTAGTTGGTCGACTGTCTGTCTGGGGGAGAAGATTTCGGAAATGGAAGGGATCAGAGGGTCAGAGGTTAGAAGAGGCAGCGCCAACAAAGCTCAAGCTGCTAAACGAATCATCCCATCTAATTGCTTACAAAGGTCGAGAGTGTCTTTGGAATGCGTGACCTGTTGAACAGGGCCGACGAGGTGGCGCTCTTGGCCAGCTGGTAGTGATCGTGATCTCGCTGCAGGTAGGAGGACGACTGCTGTTGGTAACCCTGGGGATACAGGTGGGCATTCGAGCGCCTGCTGCTCCCGCTGTACGAATCATGGAGGTAGCTGGATCCCGCTCCCGTTCCCGTCTTGTAGCGATCAAACTCGCTGAGCACCGCGGCGGTACGTGAACTGGCGCCCTGATACCGCTGCTGCTGCCGCCGAGCATCGGCTGCCGCCAGTCTTGCACCAATGCCGCCAAAGGCCAGAGCTCCGGAGCTGGAGGAGTGCATCAGCTGGCTGCTGGGCTTGTACTTGGCCAGGTCATTGTTGTTGCGATCTGAGTGGGGCAGAAAGCGGCTCTTGTTGGTGGTGGAGGAGGTTGCCGTCGATGCTGCTGCCGTTGTGTGGTGATGGTTATTAGAAAGAGCAGAAGTGCTAGTGGATGAGGTGGTGGTGGATGAGGTGGTGCTAGAGGTAGTGGTGCTGCCATTGACAGAGGGGAGGATAGTGTCTGCTGTGTGGGTTAGTTGTTGCACAACGGGCGCAGCCGAATCGGTCTCGGTTTCGGTCTCCGCCTCTTCTTCAGAGGAGCTGCTGCCCGAGGTGCTTTCCTCATCTTCGCTAGTTACTTTTTTGCTCCTCGACTTCTTCTTGGGCGCCTCCTGTGGAGGATCTGCTGCTGATGATGAAGCTACCGCTGCCACTGCTGCTGCTGCTGCCGCCTCCTTGGCCATTTTGGCCTCCTGCTCGAGAGCAGCTGCCTCCGCCTCGGCCGCCGCCACAGCCGCTTCAGTCTTCTTGGCCTCCTCGGCCGCCTCCTCCATGCGTTTAACGCGATCTCTCAGCTCACGACGCCTACGCATGCGCTCCTCAAACTTTTTGGCCTCCAGGAACTGGTTGTCCTCGCGCAGCAGCATCAGAATGGCTGCATTATCCTCCGAGGAGCGATCGTCGGCCAGGATTTCGCGCTCCTCGGCGGTTAATTCCGGTGGTGCTGGTTGCTCCTTGCGTCGATGGGCAAAGCGGTTTCTCGAATTTAAAGGCCGATCTTCTCCAGCATTTCGACTGCTGTCTTGGATCTCAGCGGCCAGCAGGCTTTCCACTGTCTTGGTTCTGCCATAGGCACGTGTGGATCGTGGTGAGAGGGTAGTTTCATCCTCGCCAGCTCCTCTTCGATTATACCGACTAGATGGATAACCAGATGCTCCGCCAAGACGCAAAGCATCATGGTAGTCGTATCTTTGGCCATAGTCCACTGGGTAATTCTCGTCCAGCAGTCGATTGCCGCTGGTCAGGTAGCCACTATCATTGGACTCGGCCATGTATCTTTGTCGCTGAGCTCGCGTTCTGTAGGGAGTACGCTCCTTGCGATCGGAGGCATTAAAGGAACTGGAGGACAACTTGGACTTGGCCAGCTGGTGGGAGGTGGCCGACCGGAGCAGGCCGCTTCCAGTTCCGTAATCGTCTGTCGGCTCCAACGTCTTGTCGCGATCCTCCTCATGGCGCCGCCTTCCAGCCGCTCGCTCCAAGATGTCCGAGTATTTGTTCTCCAAGCGGGAAATGGCCGACTGTTTGCCTCCTCCTCCTCCCGAGGAAGTTGCTGAGGTGGTGGGCGTTCTGTCTCTGTCCAAGTGCAGATCTCTTCGCTGAAGAACCAGGCGATGGAGATTAAGATTCATTTTCAGTTTCAGAGGTTTAATGGAGAAGGAAAGTGACTCCAAAGGCGGCGGTCGTGTGAAACCAACTGGCGTAACGGGCCTAAAACTCTTTACGCTCCACGAAAGAAGAGACTTAGACCCATTTAAATGGCCTTTTCGGCAATGACTAATTATGGGGCTTCGCACAATTTCACTACCATTAAAATCCGGCTTTCTCCAGACATGTTTTTTCTGCCTTTCGGTTAGAGGGGCTACCCTTTATTTTTATTTAGAATGCCTAGCTAAATCTAAACAAAAAAGTATACGGCGCGACGACCTTCAAAGTTTATATATAAAGCGGGCAGAAAATCGTGAATAGCTTTATACACACATCTGTGTGGCGTTCAGAGAGATACAAATATAGCGGAATAGAGAAAAAAGCGCCGAGATGTTGGAATCGAAAATAAATTCGGAAAACGAAAACGTAAACGCACACGGCAAGAATGAAGCCGAAGATATAGAATGAGCATATATAAAAGCGCTATAAAACGCGCCCGTGTGGGCCTCTAATATAATATCTGCACATATATCTGTTCCATCTATCTATCTGTGTAGGAAGAAACTTTCTATAGGCATTCTAATGTATGTGGCAATAGGGGTAGCCGTTAGTGCAATCACATATTTCATTTAATTGCGCATATTTCCCCCTTCGCGACCGTCAGACATGTCACACATTTAGGGCAGTCACTCTTTCGCTGACTCACTTTGCCGACAGGTGAGATGATTTCTTTTGCCTTTTCCAAAATCACACACGAAAATACCCAGGCTGTGAGTCACGGGTCTCGCTTTTGGGATCACGATCAGGGGGTCTGGGTGTTTGGGTCGCTGCTTAAGTGGTTTGCACACCGCTCTAAAGCTTGAAAGAATATCGATATCAATATTTAAAAGGAGTTCTCCCTTGAACTCATCGATGTTATCATATAAAAATTGTGAAAATATCGATACTTTTGAAAGAATGTCGACAGTTTGTTATTTATCGATATTTAAAAGGAGTTTTCCCTTAAAAGCATCGATATTATCGTATCAAAAATGTGAAAATATCGAAAACATCGATAATTTTGAAAGACAGTTGATATTTAAAGATATTTCAAAGTGGTTTTCTTTGAAAACATCGATGTTATCGTCGAAATAGCGAAAATATCGATAATTTTCCAACTCTAAACCGCTCGCCTTTGGTTCACTTTGCTTCGGAGATTTCGGGAGATACTAACATCCAGGTCTAGGTCGCGTTCACGCCTTCCACCGCCCAATCCTCGTATCAGTGGCTTGTAGTAGCCACCCACGGGACTCAGGTGGGTGCGCAATCTGTCCAGGGCGTTGGCCGTGGTGGAGCTCTTCTGGTAGCGACCCATCAGGGCGGCGGTGCTGCTGCCGCTGCTCCCAGCGCCGCTGCTGCTGGGATGGTAGCCCAGTCCCAATCCCGTTGTGGTGCCACCACCGAGTCCTCCGCCCGCATAGTAGCGCCTGTGGCGATCGGCCATCTCGCGTTCCTTGTCCCGCTCCCTATCCCTGTCCCGTTCTCGTTCCCGCTCCCTTTCCCGTTCTCTTTCCCCTTCCGGATGCCTCCGGCTGCTGGAAGATTTGTCCGAGCTGCGGCGACGTTTGCTCTGCTTCTGGGACTGCTGATTACTGGACGATCCACCTTTTGACGATCCCTTGTTTTGGCTACTATTATTGTTATTATTGCTGTCATTCGTTGGGGTCGAATCTTTGGGATCCTCGGCTATTGCGGCCGCACTTAAAAGAGAAGCCCGAACAAAACAATGAGTTTTGGTTAGGATTTATACGGTTTTTTTTCTGGATGCCTTTATCTGTACGCGTTCATATGGTTGCGTTTATTTGGATGCGTTCTTATGCACGCGGTTCGCGACGACCGACGGACGGGACGCGCGCTGCCACGACACGGACCAAAATTTAACTGAGGAAAATCTTGGGAAAATTTTTCGGAAAATTCGTGCGACGACGAAAGAAAGAGACGAAGACCGAAGTAGATGAAGGAAATAATGCTGCGGCGGCCAGAAAATATTGAGGAATCGTTTTTATTTTTGTGTGAAAAGTGTGAAAATATTGCGCACTTGCCAGAGAGGGAGAGAAAGAGAGAGAGAATGAGAGAGTGCGAGCGAGAGCGAAACACCCAAATAACATATGTAGACAAGACGAGTGGGCGGTGGATTGAATGGATAGTAGATTCGATGCGATTCTCCTCGAATGGGAAAATGGGAATGCTTCTTTTGTCTGCCAGCTGTTCGATTTAAAATCGCACGCGATCGAAATGCATTTTACTTTGTAACCCGTACAATTACATATCATTTCATTTCATTTCCGTCAGGTTAGCAGCAAAAACCGGGAAATGATCGAAAGTCTTCGCAGAAAAAGCCTTGAACTCTCGCCGACAAAACAACAAGTCAACAAGAAGAACAATAAAATTGCTGCTGCTGGTTGAGCGCGGAAAAGAAATAAAAAGAACAAAGCGAAACATTTTACGTTTTAATATAAACGTGCTCGCTCATATATAAATAATAAAGGAGCAATTGCAGTTAAAACAAAGAGCTGCGAAAAAAAGAGAGATCGCATACTTTATAATCATGCGTAATGAGGAAACGAAAGAAATCGCCAGACATCGAGAGTTGAAAGCTAGAGAATTTATTTGGTATTCCCCGAAGACAGCTGAAGAGAGATTTAAGGAATTTATCAGCTAAAGAGAAGAAACACTGGGAGAATGCGAAGAATCACAGCTGTGAAAGCTCTTCGGGGAACTCAAGCTTTTTTTTCTTATAGCCAAGAACCAAAGTTTTTGGCGAAAATATTGAACTTTTGTTGGCCTTATAGAATATTTGGAGGTTTTATGCTAGTCATAAATAAATCCATTTCAATTTCTATTATCACATCAAATCTAACTATCCACCATTTCACTTTCCAGCTATTAATCACCCTCTTTAGATTGACAATTAGAGCTGATTTTAAGCTCTATTTGATTTACGACTGGCAATCACAAGTGATAAATCAAATTTCGACTGCCAGACAGGCACTCAAATCTTTTCTCCCCCCTTTCTCACAATTATTCACGCTTTATGACCACGATATTTTCACACTTTTCGAGATCCAGAGAAGTTCACGAGCGAGTTCAACGCGATTAAAAACGCACTTGCACTCGAGCCGTTTACATAATTGGCCTTCTTCTCGATGGCCAAAAGATGTGAGAAGAAATGCAATATACGAGACGAATGAAATGATCCGATCGCGAGATACTTTCGACCGCGGAGTGACGCGCTGCAACTAAACTCGCAATTACGCGCTGACCACTCTGCTTTAAAAATCAACGCCAGAGAGGCAAAATAAAAAAAAAAACAAAAGTGAAATGAATGAAAGAAAAAATACAGAGGGAAAAACGGAAAAAGGAAAAGCAATGAGCGAGTTTTGACCGAGTTTTTCGTTTGACGAAAGGCGACGAAAGTAAAAGAAGGCACGCAAAATTAAAAATAAATTATAAATCTTTTGCTTGATTTCTTTGCATCGATTACCGATTGCGTTGTTGCTGCTGTTGATGTTGCTGCTGTTGCTGCTGCTGATGTTGCTGTTGCTGTTTATTATCAGGTCGTTCGCTCGGATTGCGTCGGAATCGCTGCAGCAGACTGTTGCAGCTTTCGGAGAGCAGCTGCGTGACGCTGGCGGCGGTGGCGCTCCTCATGTACCGCCTTTGAGGACGTTGCTGTTGTTGTTGCACCGCCTCCGCCTCAGCTGTTTTTCCATTTTCACCAACTGCCGTTGTTGGCAATATCTTTTCGCTTTTTTCGCGAATCGTTTTCAGAAATGTGGCCATTTCTTGGCTTTTACGGATCTCGGAAATCCTCTTCCCAGAGTTTTCGATTTCGCGTGGGTTTCTCCTTGTTCCGAGATGACGACAATCGTCTAATACTTAACGCCTGAATTTTTGCTTTTTGGCGGATGGCGGCTGTCGAATATCGGCTACGGATCGTGCTCTTCCTTCCGACTTGGTCTATTTCATTAATTGTACTGATTTCTGGTATTTGTTGGGAGCATGATTTTGTTGTAGACAATATAAAATAGAAATGTATTTATTGTACGTTCTCGTAGAGTAGATCTAGTATAGACAGAGCGTATATTTATGTGTAAAAATAATTGAAATTGTAAGAGATTCGACGACGGCAGCTTCGACGGAAATAGACACAACACAACACAACAACTGAGGCAAAAGTAGTTGTTGCCATCGCCCCCGCCACTGCGACAATTTCGATTAGAACTGCATTTTAAATGCACATTTTTCACACGCACTTAGAGCCATTCAATTTTTTGGGTACGATTAAAATCTCGTTTCCAATTTCCCAGGCTAATTTCCTTCACCGATCGCCGTCGATTGCCTGCGCATTGGTCGAGGAAACAAACAAACCGAAATCAGCGCAACATGAACGAAAGCGCACGCCACAAATACTAAATACTAATTATAAAGATTGAAAATATATCGGCGATGTCGAGAACCCCGAGGAGCTGGGAGCTCGGAGCACACAGAGCACGGCCGTAAGATCCGTAAGATCCGCGATCCACGATCCACGATCCACGATCCACGATCCGCGGGAGAGCTGAATACTGAGTGTGTGCGCCTCTTCCCGTTGCTATTATTGTTTGCTGTGACCGAAAGAAGCCAAAAAACTAAGAGCCATCGGATCAGGTATGAGTGTATACCCTACACAGAAAAAATAACAAAAGATCAGATTGATATGCGCTGGTCAATTTGATATTTTCTAAAGATCATGTAATTTATATCATTTTCATTTGAATAAATACTAAAATTTGTTATTTTAAATGATTTGATAAAATATCAAATTGATAGGAAATGAGGTAGAATTGACCCGATTTCATATCATATCATTTTTTCTGTGTAGTAGTGAGTGAGGTAACCCAGAAAAATTGAATCCAATTATAGCAGGCATGAGGTCAAAAGTTGTGGAAAATATGCAATATATCATAGGTCAATAATTTTTAGTTTAAGAAAAGGCTGGGCTGCTGGGGGAGTTTTCTTCAGGTACAGGGTATTCAGTAGTCGGTTGTCTCAGTCATTTTTAGTCGTCTAAGAAGAGCGCGCGAGAGCAGGTCGTGAGTATTACATATTTTTAGACATTCAACTCTGCTGAACGCGCTGCTCCCTTGTTGTTTAGTGTTTTTTAATTATTAAAACAATTACATCGGGGTCGCCGTTTTGGCAATAAATTAGTGTTAAACGCATACATTTCTTGAAAGCAGAGTTATAAAATATCCAAAGATTTTTCATAAGCGATCGAATAAAGTAAACAAACACAAAATTAAGTAGCCAGAAGAGACTATTTTTAGAGCCGCCCGTTCTGCTGAAGAAATTGACATTGAATTTCCCGCAGTCTTTGGTCTTTCGATTGTGCAATGCTGTCGATGTCGACAAGTGCAAGAGGCTGCCAAGAGGCCAAGAGATCGGTGTAGACGCCAAGGGGACCGCCGAACGAGAGATTCTAAGGTTGGAGGTAAGCATTTCACACTTGAAACGCCACCGAAAGTACAGGAAGTACAAACTTGGGGGCCAAAAGAAAGAAAAAATTAGCAAAGCAAAGCAAAGGCCTTTTGGAGCCCAGCGCTGAGTCAGCCGTCTATTTTTGGGGGAAAACTTTCTTTGGAAGCATGGTAGCATGTTAGTTTCAAACACATGTGCAGCACGAACGAACACAAGACAGAAATAGGTTTTTTGAGGAATAGAATCTACCTCGATGAAATGCAGTCCCAATGCGGACTTGGACATTTCATTCTGCTGCTGTTGATGTGGTTGTTGTTGTTGTTGCTGTTGGCTTGAGTGATTGAATATGACAGAATTGCTTTGTTGTAGCTGCGACTGTTGATGTTGTTGCTGCTGCTGTTGTGGTTGCTGCGGTTGCATGTTCGCTGATGATGACGCCGGCGACGCGTAAAACAATTGCGTATTTGTATTTGGATCGTATTGAAGCCCAGCGGCACCTCCTCCACCTCCAGCGGAAGCATTCAGAAACTGCGTATGCGGATGCGGTTGCTGTTGTAGCTGCTGTTGCTGTTGCTGCTGCTGGTACTTGACCGGCTGCATCTGATTCGGCTTGGGATAGGCATACGGATCAAAGGTCTGCAGCGGCTTGCGATCGGGCTGTTTGGGTAGTTGGCTGTTGTAGTAGTTCCTACTCATCATGCCCAGCCCAAAGTTGGAATGCTGATGTTGCTGCTGTTGCTGTTGCTGGGGGTGCAACTGCTGTTGCTGCTGCTGGTGGAACTGCAAGGCCGTCGGCCTTTGGGCGGAGCTGAAGGAGGCCGAGTGCGTCAGTGGGGCACCGGTGCGGGGATAGCCAATCTTGGATGGCTGGTAACCATACATCTGGGGCATCATCCCCGGCGGCTGTTGCTGCTGCTGCTGCTGGCCAAACTTGTTCTCCTTGTTGGTGTTCTTTTGGAGGAACATGGCCAGTCCCGATTTGGGCGCCTGCTTTGGCACATGCGACGAGGAGTACGACTGTTGCAGCTTGTGTGGCAGATGTTGCTGTTGCTGTTGATGCGGCATATGTTGCTGTTGCATGAAGGGATCACTCGCTCCATTCATGGCGGAGCAAGCAAAACTATTCCAGTTGAGGAAGGGTCGCTTGTGCTGGGGATATTGCTGCTGCTCCTGCTGATGTTGCTGTTGCTGCTGATGATGTTGCTGCTGCTGCTGCTGTTGCAGCAATCGCTGATAGCCGCCCATGGGCAACTGTGAGGTAGAGTTGGATTTGCCTATGGGATAGCAAATCCTTTGTTGCTGCTGCTGCTGTTGGAGCAACGGCTTCTGCGGATCGTAAAGCTGAACTGGCACGGGGATCTGGGATTCACCCGCGTACTTGATATTGCTGCTGCTGCTCGTCGTGGGGCCTTCGACTGAGCTCTTCGGGTCTTTGTGCTCGCCAGCCGTCAGCGACTGCGACATGATTGCATTATTATTGCTGTTGATGTTACTATTGCTGTTGCTCTTCAACTTTAGCATGTCGTTCAGGCATTTCTCTAGCTTGTTGTCAACATCTTTCTGTCGTTTTGATGACGATGTTGGCACCTCCAAGTTGGCACTCGCTGCTGCTGCGCCACTTTGTTGCTGCTGCTGATCGCTTGTGGTTGCTGCTGTTGCGGAGGGTATTGCTGTTGCCGCTGTAGTTGCTGTAGTGGTGGGAGCAATGTGGAACGATGAGGTAAACTTGGAGAGCTGCGGCAGGTGGGTGGTGCAACAGTTGGTCACCGTAAAGCTGCTCGTGCTCAAAGTGCTGTTGCTCTTCTCCGATTTTCTTTCCAGGGAAGCGGAATCACCTTCCTCAATGGGCGCCACTTGTTGGGGTTTCTGCAGAGCCTGTTGATGTTGCACCTGCTGTGGATTGCTGGCTTCCTGCGGCCGACGGAAGAAAGCGGCGGCACAGCGAGGTGAGGGAACGCAGGAGCTACTGGAGCTCTTCAAGACACCACTGGGTTTGCTAGCAGGAGTAGCTGGTGGTGCCACCTTGAGTGGTTCCTTTGTAGGAGGTGGTTCCTTGCGTGGCTGCGTCATGAGAATCGCAGAGTTCGAGGTGCTCCGGCTCAACGAAGGGAGGTTCTTCATGTAGCAGGGTATATGTGTGCGACTGGAGGTGCGGAGCAGAGGAGCTGCTCCCACTCCAACACCCGGCACATGAGTCATGGACATGCTCTTCGGTAGCACAGGTTGCTGTTGTGTGGTTTGCTGCTGCTGTTTCACCGGCACTCTGCTAACAAAATTCGCACCATTTGCAGACGGAGATGGCTCATTGCAGATCAGCTTGTAGAGATCATCTTTGGTGACAGCCTGACGGACTTTTAAGTCCAAATGGGAAAGCGAGGCATTCTTCTGGAGTTTGTGGGGTTGAGGATGCGATTGCTGGGGTCGCTGTAGCTCCTTCTGTGCCGCCTCTGCCACCGTGGGATCAAATATAGCCAGCTTCTTGGCCGTCTTGGCGTCTACCTTAAAAGGCTGCCCGGCATCTCCCAGCTGAGCTCCACAGATCTTTTCGTAGTTCCAAAAGGTTCGCTTGGGTGTCTGCCGTTTCTGGTTGCTCGTTAGATTCTCACTCCAGAATTCATTCATTAATTGTTTATTCAACGACAGATTAGAACCACTTTGTAGACCATTTTTCGCTGGCAAAGGACGCATTGGAGTGGTCGGCGTACTAAGCGGCATATTCGAACTGGAAATACTACGCTGCAACTTGGGTTCTCCGCCATTGGACTGTGAAAATATCGAGGGATAGGCTAGGCGAGGTGCAGCCGGTGCCGGTGCAGCTCCTCGATTCTGGGCAAAGTTAATGGAGGAGGATTTGGCTAGACCTGGCGTTACCTTCCCCACCGACTGCTGTGAATTGGACTTGGCCAGCGGCTGCTGCTGCCGCTTGATCCTGTCGTAGAGATCCTCACACTCCTGGAACTCCTGGTGCAGCTTCCTGTCCAGCTCGCTGTAGTCGGGCAGGCTCTTCAGATACTTGTTCATCATCTCGATCTCGGCATCGTAGAAATTCGCATCCAATTTGGCGCTATTCGTGGCCGCCGCCGACTTCTCCTCCAGCTCCTGTTGCTGTTGGAGGAGCTTATCCAGACTGATTTCGGGAGCGGGAGCAGGAGGAGCCTTCTTGGGAGCACGACATGGCACCGGGGGTGGTGGCGATGACGAGGGTGAGCTGCACGAGGAGAGCGATATACTCGAGGCCGGACTCGAGGCAATGGTGGCCATTAAACGGGAACTGCTGATCGTTCCCGTGGCCGCATTGTAGGCCAGCGGATGATGCTTCCTGGGTAGCGGAGGTGTGGACTTTGGACTCGCCGGTAGCAGAGGTGGTCGACTCTTTCGGATGGCCAAAGGCGAGGAGATCGGTGAACGCACTTGAGCGCACTTGCTCTCCGGGATGCTTGACGAGAGCACCGAGGCGAACTGCGGCGAGACCACCTGGAAGAACTGCTGACCTCCACTACTCGAAGTGGGCGGCGGCATTGCTGGTTGGGATTGGGTCTCCTCTTTGGCTCTCAGGCGACTTGGTGACTGGGAGGCGACGGCGGCGGTGGAGGAAACCGCTGCTGGGGGCACTGTAATTGCGGGCTTGCCGGCATCTTCACTCATCTATAGGAAACAATCGCGCACTGTGAACCGTTTGGAGGTTCTATGAATTAGATATCCGATTTCAGTTGAATCCGTTGATTGATTTTTTATCGCGATTTTAGGTGTGTTGTGTGTGTGCGTTTTAATGTTTCATTTGATTATTTAAAACCCTTAAACTTCCTGCTTTCATTAAAAATCTACAACTATTTTAAAGTGTCATTATGCCCGTGGGCGTTATAACACCGGGCGTTATTCCCAAAGTGTATCATTGTGTTCCTAAACAACCAACGAGGTAAATTCTATTAAACAGATTTCATTAAAAACATAATGGTGTGTGCTATAACGCCCTTTCAAAAAGTGTCATTGTGCCCGCGGGCGTTATGACACCTGGCGTTATCCCTTAAGTGTTTCATTGTATTCCTAAACAACCATCGAGGTAAATTCTATTAAACAGATTTCGAACAGAACACAGAAGGGAGGAGGACAAACTACAGAAGACAGAAGACACCACAGAGCGATCACGACGACGATGACCAACCTGGAGATACTGCTCCGGTATCTTACTGTTCTTCGGCACAATGATCTTCTTAATGATGATGATCTTGTCGCCCTCGATCTTGGTAATGGTGATGGGAACGCCGGGCATGGGACGCTGCGGCTTAACGGGCACCGCTTGCTTTGGTGCGTTTCGGATTACTTGGGGTCCCGTGAGGATTCCACCGGGACTTGGCTTTGGAGGAGCAGGCTTGGGCTTCGGTTTCTGGGCGGGCACATGTTCCTTGTGATCGCTGCGCACAATGGAGAAGTGGTAAAGTGGTTTATCGTCGTCTAGAATGCTCTTCTGCGGCACTGTTTTCTTCTCCACCCGACGGAGCACCACTCCCAGCATGGGTGACTCCTTGGGCTTGATGGTTATGGATCCACTGGGTGCGGTGACCCTTTTAAGGCTTACTCCCAGATTCGTGCCCACCGGGGGAGGTGTCTTGGTGCGGTGCACCATCTTTCCGCTGGGTATTTCACGATACTCATCTAATCTCCGCCGACGAAGTTGATCCTCTTCCAGTTGCTCTTGCACTTTGGGATCGGGATTGGTGTGCAGCGATGGTTCGGGTGCCACCAAAGGCGAGGGTCCAGGGAACATGGAGGTTAGGCTGCTCCTTCGTCGGTTCATCACATTTGGAGCTGATACCGTTTTGGTCAGAGGAAATTTGCTGCCTTGAGGAGGTGCACCCACAGGTGGTGCTGCTTCCATTCCTGTGGCACTAGAGGTACTTCCACGTCGACTTTCTGGCTGGCGGCTGGCCGAGTCCAAGCTGCTCATGCTCGCGGAACTCTGGAGGCGATCGGGAGCAGCGCTCCTCTCATGATTTCGATCGGGCGAAATGGAACGCTCGCGGGTGCGATTGTGGGAACGGGCATCGCGGGCGGCTCGCTGCATGCGCAGCAGCTCAATGGAGTCGACCAGGTGGGAGGTGCTCTTCTGGGGCGGCGAATCTTCCCTTGAAGAGACCTTGAGCAGGTGCTGCTCCATGGCATCGTCTATGTCAGTGGGCAGCGAGGCAATGCGTTCCCTGGGTCCTGAATTGCTGGGCAGGGAACCTTTGGCTAGCTGCTCCTCTTCCTCCTCGTCGTCTTCCTCCTCCTCCTCCTCATCTGCCTCCCCTTGAACTCTGGCCTGCTCCGCCTCCTCTTCCTCCTTCTTCCTGCGCTTCTCACTCTCCATCACCCGCTGCAATTGGGCCTGCACCTCGAGGGCAGCACGTGCTCTGGCCTTCGACTCGGCCTCGCGTGCCTGTCGCAACTGCTCCTGGGCAATGGCCCTGGCTTCCGCCTCCGCCTGGGCTCGAGATCTGGCCTCAGCTTCCGCGGCAGCCGTTGCCCTTAGAGTGGCCAAATCGGTGGCCGTCATCTGCTTGATGCTCAGGCGACGTTCCGTGTTGAGTATCAACTCCACCTGGGTGCTTCCGCCCTCCGGTTTCTGGGCCCTGAGATCCGGACACCCAAGGGCGATCAGTTCGCTGAGTTCGTTGGACATTTCCCTCCGGTTTGCTTTTCAGTTTTTCTGTATTTTCTGGATGCCCAAGTGTACAAAAAGAAAAGTTCTCGATTATCTAATATTTCACTGGCGATTCCCTCGAATTGCGTTGACTTCGAATAGCTGGGCGAGACTCGCGAGGCTGTCGATGGTGGCCCCAAAGGAAACCTGCACTAAAATCGGAGCAGTTCTATTCGGATCCGATCGGTTCGAATCGGAATGGAACAATCGAAGAACAATCGATCGATCGATCGGATCGCACGCTCAATGTCAATGTCTCATTGGCATTTTGGCAAATGCCCGACGACTTGACTTACTAATTGTTCGTAGCAATGGTCGTCATTCGACCAAAGACTTTTCCTTTTGGCGCCCATATACATCCGACATCGAGTATATGATACCCCCAATTTGTTTTGGTATATAGAGCAGATACAGATTACAAATCGTAAACAGCAATGAGCTCATTGATCGCGGCGCCTCATCGACAGAAACCCCTTACCCCTTTGAGATTCTAGCCAAAAAGAGACCTGCACCTTGCCCCAGATATATTGCGATGTGAATATATCGTTCGTATAAGAAATATCCCTGGAGAGATATCTCCGTTAGGTTCATTGGGCATTGGGAGAATGCTCCCCTGTCTTTCTGTGTCTTCCGTTCGAAATCTGTTTTTATTTTTAACAAATAGACGACGACGCACGTAAATTGGCGCAGCCGGGCGGTTATACCTAGTACACAGAGTACGTGTGACGCTAGTGCCAGCGGTACAGTGAAACCTCGAATAATTCACGTTCTCAATTAAAGAGAAGCATCTCTGATCTCTGATAATCACATTCGGCTTGATTGGATTTCATAGTTCACTTTAAATTTCCATTAGTTTTCCAATCTTTTTTCGATCTCTGCTAAGCTTTCACTGTACCGAAAGAAAACTCAGCAGCGCGCGTTGGAAAAACCTAAAGGGGGGAAAGGGAAAACGAAAAGTTTTCCACCCCAGTTGACTTTTATTTTGGTTCGCATCATATGGCCAAAATTGTATCGTGTACAAGTTTGTATCTTGGATTTTCGCTATAAGTTTGTTGTGGCAACTAAATATAAATGCAAGCCTTACGAAAATAGCTTTCGAAAATTATAGAAAACGCCAGCTAAGCGGAAAGTGGAGGATGGAGGAGAAGAAGCCACGGAGATCAACATGATGATGATGTGGCAGCCTGATGAATAATCCCCGCCGATCTGTGGCGCACATACATATATATAGATATATGGTTATAGTTTGTATCTATGTGGCACACTCACACACTAACGGACACACACACGTGTGTGCTCCATTTGTTAGTTTTGAGTTTTTGTTTTGATTTGCTTGGCCGCTGCGTTGTCTTCTTCTCCTTCATCTCGGAGTACACAGAAAAAAATGTTGATAAATTTAAAATAATTTACTTTATACTTTTCATTAAAAAGTTATTAAAATATAATGATTTAAAATGATCGATATTTACGATAATTTGACAATATCGATTCGATAATATCGATGTTTTGAAAAGAAAACTCAAATTAAATATCGAGAAATAGTAAACTTTTTTTTATAAAATATGTTCACTTTTTTGACATTTAGCAAGTTTTACATTCTGATAAAGTAACCCTTTTATAGGAAGACATATATAATCCTTATTTAATTTTATTAAATTTCTTTCTGTGCACTCGAGTGACTGACTGTTGCATTATCCTCCTCTATCCATCCGCTTTTTCTATTAAAAGTATCTTTCGCCGCGCTAATTGCAAACTTGATGGAAAAGTGCAAAGTTCACTATCATCTTCCAGATTTTGAACGCTTCACAGCTGCTCATCTATCCTCTATCCCACATTTAATATTATTCCGAATTATTTACTCGCCAACGGTTTGGCGGGGGGTCAATAAAACAGTTTGGCTCTGGTATCTTGCATCGTGTTTTGTTTAAACAAATTAAGTCCGCCGAAGAATATCGCGCACTTTTTATTTTTGATGTTTTTTTTCTGGTTCGCTTTCGACAGTTTTATTTTTAAAACACTTAAATGTTCTTAGTTTTTGGTTTGTTTTTTGTTCTTTTCGTTGATTATGTCACGGTGCCCAGCAATTGTTTTTGGGATTGCGTTTTCGTTGTACCTAAAATGCGTTTCTATATTGCACACGCCGCCCAGTATGTACCTCTAAATATTGTACTATTCGATTATTTGGTGTTCCTGAGACCAAAAAAAAAAAATCAAAAAAAACACAAAAACGCACACACAGCACACACTATATATCGGTAAACAAAGTGCGCGAAAGGAGACGATCAATATAAAGATCGGTGGGTTGTCTTTTGGGGGGATTAAAAGAGAGGCGGCGATTTGAATTCAGGGGGCGTGGAGGGGGTATCCCCGTACCGTTACACGACGAAGACGAAGCGACGACAATATATAGTTTAATTCAGTTCAGTTTATATGGACACCAGTGGCGGCGACACACAGCCAACAAACGAAGATTTCAATCTGTTTCGGTTTCCTCGAAATTTGAAAATTCTCAGCCGAAAACTGGCCGCGGCAGAGAAGAGCGCCGAGTGTATTTATAATTTTCCAATGGTCTTTGAGCAAATGGCAAACAAGAAGATGTTTTTCCGCCGGATGAAGCTGCGCGCGCATCTCGGAGAAAGAAACATCGTCAGCTGTGCGACTTGGTTTAGAGGAGGAGCAACATGCGCACGGAGCACGGAGAGGAATCCCCAAGGCGTCGCTCTCAGGAACCGATAAATATATATTTGTATATATACAGGGCAATATAGGCAGGGAGCGTGAGCCCCGTGTAAAAGTTCGGTGTATATAGCTGCGGTCAAAATAATAGCATTGCCAATAAATCATGCCATAATTTCCAGAAGACTGAACCTTTAAATAGGTAACAATTTTGGGAATACAGTAAAGCTTGAAAAAACATGGACAGTTTTCTATTTCTCGATATTTTGTGTTTTTCCTTCAAAACATCGAAATTATCGAATCGATATTGTCAAAATATCGGAAATATCGATAACTTTCAAGCTCTAGAATACAGAGATGCTTTTGATATAAGTTGATCAGGAAAAATCCGCAGAACCAAATTTTAAATATTTCAAAATATTCATTAAAATTAAACCTACAAATTTAGTTTAAAACACTTAAGAATGTTTAATATGGTATTAGTAACACATCTTAGTTCCTGTTACATACAACACAGAGTAACTTTTATCCCTCAATCAATCAAATCTCGAGCAGTGCTATTATTTTGGTCTAAAATGTAAATTATCTATGTGGAATTAAAGAGAAGAAGGGTCGAGGAGACCATGCAACACAGCGCACACAACGAAAGATACTCGCCGACAATCTGTGAATCTGTAAATCGTGTGACTCACTAGATAGTCGTCATTGTGGTCCACAAAGTACTCCTCGACGATCCAATTGTCGCCGGCATACTTGTCCACGGGCATATCGCAGAGGGCCACCAGATCGAAGTGATTGCGCTGCCGCTTCAGCAGAAGACAGCGGCTTATGGGCACGCTCTTTCCGTCGCCGGGGTAGCCCTCCTCCTCCTGCCCATCCAGGTCGTTATCCCTTTCCAGCTCGCAGCCGTTCTTTCCATTCCGGATGATGAGCTGCTGCTCCAACTGCCTAAAATACTGAATCTTGGCGGCTCGGAAACGATGACGCGGTGGGAATTCTATGCGAGTTACTCAGCCCACTTAATTGGCGGCGATATGGGCAACTGGCAAAGCTGCCGAGGAGCAGTTCGCAGCAGCAGCAACAGAATCACCAGGCAGTATCTCATCTCATCACACAGCACATCTCAGAGCAGAAAAGAAAACTCTGGCCGCCGTCAACGAGTTAATGTCAAATGATCAATTGAACGAAAATAACTAGAACAGCGGGGTGTATTGGACAAAAGGGGAAAAGAACTATAAAGAACCACCAACAGTGAATGAGAACTATAAAGATCTCGTTTAATTAAGAGTTGTTTTCCATACGGCGAAGATTGCATAGAAATTGCTTAATTTTATGTCTAAATGGCCAAGGTTTCGCTTAACTGCTCTATTTAATTGTTGATCAAAAAATTATATATTCTTCCTTAAGTTCTTTTTAATTATGCTTATATATTCGTAGTGTCAAGTGTCTTTTTTAATATATGAGTTCATGGTTGATTAATTAAGAAGGTTGTCATGCCTAATTAAAGTGCCGGTCTATAAAATAACAACAAAATATTGATTTCTCTATGTAACAACCATATTTCCCCATGCTCTAATTAAGTTTCTGTATTTCGACACTTGCTAAAGGCCTTGTTACTTTATTATAAGTACTATCTTATCAACCAAAACATACACAACTCATGCTGCTCATCGAGTTCTCAAGTGCTTGTTCTCTTGAAGCTCTAAAGCAATCATTTCCATATTCAGTTGCACTCTCATTCCGGAATACTACTGATTACAGAACATTCCTCATGTAATCACTGTACCACTGAAAGACCAAGAACCAGAGCAATGTGACACATCTAATGACAAATTTAGCTCGACGCCGCATAGATAAGAAAGGAGAGAGTGCGATCGAATGATCACTTTACTGATCCACTCGACTTGTAATCGAGAAAACACATATAGCGATTATGTTAGTCAAGAAGTGAGGAAAGGGGTTGTAGGGGTCTGGGTTTTATCGATAAGACACGCTTACTAGATAATCGCTGTCGTGATCGGCAAAGTACTCAACGACTATCCAATCCTCGGTGTATTGCATAAATCGCAGTGGACAGCTGGAAAGGATGAGGTCGCGACAATGATCGACGACTGGAGGGGCTGGCAGGTCACGCATCTTGATGTAGCACGGAATCTGGGAGCTCTCGAAGTGATCGGCCACCTGCTGCGACCTCTCAAGATACCGCTTGAAGAACAGCATGATATAGGGGATCTTCTTTAGAACTACTAATCAATCGAGCGGCAACGCTTTTGGCAATGCATAGGGATATAGAAACGCAATCG